ACTGTTGTTTTAAATGTATGTAGGTACCTAAGCTCTTTTCACTTTAATTGATTCTGTTGTGGTCATCAAAATTGACAGTTAGCTTATTGTATCGGACTTGAGAATCAGTTATCTTAACCGTATTTCCATTTCAGAAGATGTGAGATGCTTGAAAAGATTTTAGATTTGAGTCATTGAGACAGATTTGAATCAGAAGTTATTTTGCGGAAATTCATTATAATAGGTACCTACATGTGAAAGAAATTACTAATTTGTGCATGCAAAATAATAGTGCTTGTTATCGCTTAAGAATGACATTACATACAAGTAGTTCATGTTAAGTCCCCTTTGAAAAATTTATTGAATTTCTTCAGCTCGAAAAGAAACAACTTTAGGTTAAACTTCACGTCGAATTTGAACAGTTTCCAATTTCCTCGTTTTTGTTGAAACTTTTTGGCACGGCTATTAGCTTACCTATTAAATTTATTTTTAATCAGCAGACTATATTTATATAATCATTCTAATTGTCCAAATTAAAAATCGATTAAGGCATTGAATGTCCCTGAATCGGATCTAACGTCAAAAGATATCTTACATGTTTCTATAAAATAAAAACTCCTTGTCAGAGGTCATCTCAGTTCTTGAGCAACTGCAGCCAAATTCAAATTAGGTGTAGTTAACGCCGAAATTACAAAACATAATGTAAAATCTCAAAGATATAGCCATCTATTAAGACAAGATATACAACGTAAGAAATATTAAAAGTGTGAAAATCCCAAATTCATGGACAGGCATTTATTTAATTTATTTGTATGGAAATTATTACCTGTGTATATTACTATATAGACTTACTACTCTGCCTTGGCAAAGGCTGTTTTTCTCCTAGCGAGAGGGGTAACATACATTGTACTGAAGTTAGAAACATTTTTATGTACCGACCGCGGTAGCCTTGAATGATGGATTTGAAATTTTTTTTTGATTTATTAAGCATAATTATGTTACATTATCCAGTACAATACTAGCATATAAACCTTGTATAATATGAAGACGTTTCTAGGGCCCTACATGACACAACCCAGTTCCATGTTGTCATATAAGAGCGAGGGAGTTTAATGCCAAATAGATATGCATATAATACGGGCAATGATTCGATTTTGAGACTACACAATTGTAGAAGAAAAATCCCAGCTTGGCAAAACCGATTCGTTTTAGACATTCTGAATATAATTATGGTTTGATAGAACTCATTTAATGAAGCTACGCTGGGCCAAATCTATTACAAGTCGTAGCTGTCTTCCAACATGTTAAGTTGAAACTAAAAAACGATTCAATGAACTAAAATCTTCTGACGACATTGAGAAGGATCTTACGAGCGTCACTATTATCATGATGATTGTGATGAATAAGAAACTATTTTATGGTATAACTTGTGTTCGGATGGGACTCTTCAAATAATGAACAGGAGACGAAAAGAAACAACAGCCAGCGGAACGAGTAACATTGCACAAGGATTGTGAGGAAGGGTATACTTTAGAACTTATAAACTGTAATACAAGAAAAAATGGAGCGAAACAAATTCTTTTGTCAGAAGTTAAAGATAGTCACATATCAAAACTTCGACGGCTTCGTGGCACAGTGGCTTAGCAATGATTTGCAGTGCTAAGAGCCGCGGGTTCGAATCCCGCACGGGACAAGTATTTGTATGAGCTACAAATAATTGTTCTGAGTCTGGATGTTTGTCCTTGTGAAATCTATCTATGTAAACTGTTCCCGCGTACAGGAGAAAATTCAGGAGTGTGGAGGTAACGTTTTTATAAAAAAAAATCTACGTGCACACAATAGCAAAATCCACAGGCGTGAGTCGATCGAGGATTATTACTTTACAGATACATCTTAATATAACTCACAACTTATACCTAAATGAGACGATTCCAAAGCCATAATAACTTTACACAACTTAAAAATGGAAAAGCCACAGGTGAAGATGGAATAGCGACGGAAATATTGAAAGCAGAAAATAATTTTTCAGAATTTTATGTTTTAAAAAATTTATTATGATATCCTAGAAAAGTTTGAAACTTGAGATTACGAGTATTTTTAGTTTATCTCAGTCGGGATAAATAAAATTTTGTCTGTCGCTAATATCGAAATAACTGCCTTAGTTTATTAAGCTGAAGCTGCATGCCATTAAGACACGCATTAACATTTTTAAAATATTTTCCTGTCTGTCTGTATGTTCTGTCTTCGGAATCGAATGTATTGCTGAATCGATTGTAATGAAACTTCACGGACAGAGAGAAAGTAATGCGAAGAGTGCTTTAGGTTATATTTTATCTCTATTTGATTTTATTAAACAGAACTTTTATAAAATAAATGATATTTGTTTATGTTAAATCTAAATAACGCCAGTTTAATACATCCTACCCAGGCGAAGCAGGGGCTGGTCCTTAATATTAACAAATAACGCACTAAAAGTTCACCTGTATTCATATCATTTATATGTATGTCTATGTGCAGTATGCATTCAGATTAGCGATGTATGGGTCCCTCAAGGTGTATCGTGGTAGAGCCATGCTGCAGCTATATTAGTAGTATAGTTGTAGCACGAATGGGTTGGCTCGACCGGCGAAGGACCACGCTCTCACAGAATACCAGCGTAAAATAGCAGCTTAACACTGCTGTGTTTCATATGGTGAGTGTAGTGAACCGGAGACTCTTTTTACTGGAAGAGAGGCATTCCATCTTAGTCTTCATGGGTGACAACGCATCTGCATTTTGATTCTTTATTGAGGATAGATGTGGATGTCTATGGGTCACAGCAACCACTTACCATCAGGTAGACTGTGTGTTCGTTTGTCACCCTATCTTATAAAAAAAGATTACAAGGTCTTGAAAATCCTTGTTTTTATAAAATGTGAATGAAAAACGAACTTGCAGTCCACCTGATGGTAAGTGGTTACTGCAGCCCAAGGACACCTGCAATCAATCAACTTGAAACAGACTTGCGTTGACACCTGTGAGGACTAAGATGGAGTGCCACATAGCTTGTAATTATACTGGCTCTTCACACCCTTCAGGCCGAACACATCAGTGTAAGAGTTGCTGTTTGGCGGCAGAAATAAATTAGAGGATGGTAGGTACCCAGACAGTAAAGTAAAAAGAAAAAAGTCCTGTTTTAATTAATTAAATACTCATTGGGATCAAGATATAGATTGAAGAACAATCATCGAGTTACATATTTAAAGGTAATTAAAAATGAGATTTATTTAAAAGAAGAACTATACCTAGAGAGGGCTATGCTCGGTGTTTTTCTGCGTGATAAACTTAGAAATGAGGATATCCACAATAGAATCTGAGTAACTGACGGATTAGTAAGCTGAAGTGGTAATAGGCCGGCCATACAGCTCGAAGAACCGACAACCGATGGGGAAGAAAGGTTCTCAAGTGGCAGCCTAGAGTAACGACCTAGTAAAACATGCAGGAGGTCGATGGATGCAGGTAGCTCAGGAATATGCTTCGTGGCATTCTTTGGGGGAGGCCTATGTTCAGCAGTTGACTTGTGAAGAGCTGTAATGAATGAATGAATGAACAAAACAAACCATTATAAATAATGAACACAATCACGTGGCCATGTTGACATAATGTTACAACCTCATAATCAAAATTGTAGTAACTGCTTCTGCATTCTGTCAATATATCTACTTATATCTGCAAGACATTATCTGTTTCTAATGTAGTAATGAAATGCTGTAATCGCCACACTTGGCAAATGGATTGGCGATCGCAGTAACATAAATCTAACAACTTATACGCCGCTCACAGTCGTTGGTCTGAGTATTTAACATCGAACATATACGAATTGGTCATGCCAGAGGTGATAAAGTCTTTGTGGGCTCTCCCATAGTCGCCTCTAACGATAGCCATGGGTGATAGATAGATGAGCTCTAATAGCCCGTATCAGTAGTTGTTATTCCTATACTGCATTTAGGAATACTGCATTTATATAATTAGCACATTCATAAAATAGATAATATCCAGAAAACACAATATCGGGGTGTTACTTATTTAGATAGATCAATGACCCCTGAAAATGGGTTATGTTGAAGCAGACGTTATATGTATAAGATTCAATGGAAGGCCTGTCAAAACCGCATCCTTCCAGAGGTGAATTTTTTAGATGTGTATAAAGTCCGTTACCTATTTTTTTATCTTTGAAACCCTAACTAAATGCTTTAACTTTATATTCATTTTTTTTATTTAGGTCAGTTATTTTTTTTTAATTAAAAAGTATGTTATATTGATTGAAGCATTAGAACAAAAATTTTCTTTTTTTTACCTAATGTCGTTTTAGTTTGTTAAAGAAAAATATACTTATATACGGGTATGTATAATTTATTTTTGTTTAATTAAAGACAGTATATTTTAATTGTATTAGCAATCTTGATCTGATCGTGAAATGTTTCTTCCTAAATTCCAAAAAGTTTTAAAATCTTCGGCAGGTGATATCTTTTTCCGTGAATTGTCATTTATCTGCATGAAAAGAGCTTTGACTTTACGCTATAATCATGTGTGAAGCTGTCACAGTCACAGTGCTTCAGTGAATTGTAATAGATATAGTAATAGACTACTTTAATAGGGGCATGTCCACTCTCGTGACTAGAGATTGAACAGCTGCAATATATTGGACTCAATTACGATTGATATGTTCGCGATTTACTTCACGTTCTCGATATTGAATCCTTAATGGATCTGTCCATAGCAATGACAACATGTCAATTAACATCAAGGCCGAGACCGAGATATCGCGATAACTATCACTTAAATGTTGTTATCATTGTGTTATCAGCACACACAGATCGATATGAATATTTCTACTGCGAACAGACCATAGGCACTTTCACCGGCGTAACACGCGTTTTCTAGCGAAACACCGAACTCAATTATTAATAGCAGACTATTTTTGGAGCGGCTTCGGACGCGGATTTCGGGCATGTGCGATGCCCGGGATAAGACTGTCTCACCTGGGCCAGGTGTAGACGCCGGAAACTTCGAACCCGAAGTGCCAGGAGCCAGCGTACGCCCCCTGTCCTTTTGGTCCAGTGCACACACCGTAGCCGTGGGCCTTGCCATCCTCCCAGCCGCCACAATATGTACCACCATCATCAAAATCGAAACGGCCACCGTTAAGGCCCCGCTGCGGGGGATTTCCGCTAGCAGCGTGCGCGGTATCGGCTGGTTCGCTCGGCTGCATCACGCGAGACCGTGGTGCCGCGGAGGGGAGGGCCTCCCGCGCGTGCCCTCCGCCGAGCTCGCGGTATAAATAAACATCAGCTGGGCATGTCGCGCCGTGGCGCGCCGCCGAGTGAACGCCACTCCGGTCCTGCGCGAGGAGCACTGCCGGCCGCACGCCGCCCGCCGCGCCCCGCCCCGCCCGCCCTGCCCGCCCTGCCCGCCCTGCGCAATGCGCCTTACACTCGCTACGCTCTCCCAACTCTACAATGGATGCTACCTATGATAACTCATTAGCAAGATGCTTTCTGCAGTCTGGCTATAGTTTTAGATATTTATATTGGGGTGTTCTTCAAGAAAGTTACATTATTTGCACAGAATTCATTAAGATGTTCATCAGGATATTCTCATTTAAGGGCACAACTAATAAGTCACGAATTTAAAACAAATGAATGACGCATTGATTACTGAATTGCTATGACTTAAGTCTTCTTTCTATGAGGTGTTATATTTTCTGCCGACTTCCAAAAAGGAGACGGTACTCAATTCGACTATATGTTTTTTTTTATGTGTGTTACCTCATAACTTTTTACTGGGTAAACCGATTTTGATGATTCTTTTTTTTATTTGAAAGCTGGTACTTGTCGTGTGGTCCCGTATGAATTATATCAAAGTCAGACCAATAGTTTTTGAGTTATTCTTAATAACTTATGTTGAAGACGGCTGTACAAATTTTTTAATATTAAATTGTTCATTTACTTTAAAACGTTCTATCAACAACTTTAAACTTTATTAACATTTAATTTTGCTACCATTTGACAGAAATAAATTAATATATCATTATATCCTGAGCCACACACATCATACAAATAAATAATGGAACTTCTTCTTCATCATCATCAGCCCGCAACAGCTGCTGCATCAAGCTGCTGGACACGGACCTCTTCCAATGTAGGGAGGCTTTGTCATAACCGGCACTTATCTGTCGGATTGTCGATAGCAGTGGAAGATGTCACGCACCTTATTCTCTTTCAACCATGGATGACGCTATCCCTGACGGGATTTTAAGTATTGTCTTTTATGCACAGTTTATAAAATGGTTTACATTTAACTAAGTTCCCCTTCCATTAAGTAAAACATGTAATTAAACTACAATTTACGGATTTTAACACGTTTAATTTAAAATTTTTAAATCCTGACGTTTCACTACGTAAAACATGAACTTATTGTCAATGTGATTGGATATATTGAAGGGGTTTTAAACTTAAATCAAAAAATAGTTATGTACTGACTTACAATTAAAACCTTATCATTAGTTAACAGTATATATTGTCTCTGTAGTTTGTATGTTATAATAACTTATTAATGCTTTTATCATCATCATCATAATCATTACAGCCCTTCACAAGTCCACTGCTGAACATAGGCCTCCCCCAAAGAATGCCACAAAGCACGGTCCTGAGCCACCTGCATCCATCGACTTCCTGCATGTCTTACCAGGTCGTCACTCCATCTCGTGGGGGGACGCCCTACACTTCGCCTACCGGTACGAGGCTGCCACTCGAGAACCTTTCTTCCCCATCGGTTGTCGGTTCTTCGAGCTATATGGCCGGCCCATTGCCACTTCAGCTTACTAATCCGTTGGGCTATGTCGGTTACTCTGGTTCTACTGCGGATATCCTCATTCCTAAGTTTATCACGCAGAGAAACTCCGAGCATAGCCCTCTCCATAGCTCGCTGAGCGACCTTGAGCTTCCTCATCCGGCCAGCAGTGAAGGACCACGTCTCAGTTCCGTATGTCATCACTGGCAACACGCACTGGGTGTACAGTCTCGTTTTCAAGGTTTGAGGTATACCTGACGAGAAGATGTGACGTAATTTCCCGAACGCTGCCCAACCGAGTTGAATCCGTCGATTGACCTCTCGGTCGAAGTTGGACTTACCTAGTCGGACTATTTGTCCCAGGTAAACATACTCGTCAACAACTTCGAGCTTAGTGTTCCCAACAACTACCGGCATAGGTGTGACATGGACATTAAACATGATCTTTGTTTTGTCCATGTTCATCTTAAGACCTATCCGTTGGGAAACACTATTGAGGTCATTGAGCATAGTGCTTAGGTCCTCCAGCGATTCTGCCATAAGGACTATATCGTCGGCAAATCGAAGGTGAGTGATGTACTCGCCATTGATGTTGATACCGTATCCTTTCCAGCCCAGAAGCTTGAAAACGTCTTCCAATGCAGCGGTGAAGAGTTTCGGGGATATGACGTCACCCTGTCTTACACCTCTCTGCAATTGGATAGGTTTCGTACTCTGGTTCTGTACTCGGATAGCCATCGTAGCCCTACTGTACAAGCACTTCAACACTTCGATATACCGACAGTCAACTTGGCACCGCTGAAGGGACTGCAGCACCGCCCAAATTTCGACGGAATCAAAGGCTTTCTCATAGTCCACATACGCCTGACATAGTGGCAAATTGTACTCTTCGGACTTCTGTACAATTTGCCGAAGGGTATGTATGTGGTCTATGGTGCTAAAGCCCTTTCGGAAACCGGCTTGTTCGGGAGGCTGGAAGTCGTCAAGTCTGCGCGCGAGACGATTCGTAATGACTCTCGAAAACAGCACGTAGACGCGGCTCAGAAGGGAAATCGGTCTGTAGTTCTTCAAGAGGGTGTTGTCACCTTTCTTGAAGAACAAGACCACCGCACTTCTGCTCCACGCCTCCGGTGTAATGCCACCATGGAGGACGGAATTAAAGAGCTTCTGAAGGACTTCAAGTACCGGTTTTCCACCCGCTTTCAGAAGCTCCGCTGTAATTCCATCCTCGCCTGGGGCCTTACCGTTTTTAAGGTGCTGGAGAGCCATTCTAATCTCGCTCAGACTGACGTCCGGGAATGCTTTTATATCTAAAGTTAAAGCGCAAAGCTCAATGATGTCTCGCACTTTACTATTTACATCTGCACCAGCATCTTTCGGAAGCAATTTTCTGGCATTTGGTACAGCCGCGCCTGACGTCACCCACAAGACAAAATTTCGCAAAAGTAAGATTCTCTCACATCATCTTGGTCTCTCGTTGGGGAATATAAAAATGAAAATGAAAATAATCCTCAAAGAAAGCGTGTAAGGAGAAATAGAAGAATAAGAAGAAAAAATTTAATGCATGTATTTGCCAGAGGTATAATATACATACATACGTGGCCCCAGTATGTCTGTATATATACATATACATATGGCCTATATTCTAAGGCCGCGCTAACACTTGCGTTTGTTAAGCGTGCGCGTTCTTCTAATGTAAGACCAGTATAGAAATATTACCCGCAGCGCTTGCGTCATGTACGAGTACCTGCTGAACGCATAGCCCGCAACGTGAACAAGCGAAGCACCGCAAATCCTATACGACAATACGTAAGACATAATGTTACTCGAACGTTGCTAGCGCATCTTCCGGCAGTAAAAACTGTATCCCTTTCAGCTGTTTTTTATATTTTAGGGTAAAAAAGTCATGGTGCAGCAGTAGCCTTTCTAAAAGAATTACTCTAAATTACGCATCAAAGTGAAAAAAGTTGGTCAAGTTCCTCACGCGAAGGAGCTCGTAAAAGATCTAATACGCAATATGCGCTATCTCTTCATACGTAATCCACTATTCTATTCTATTCTCTTTAATTAAATTTTTCACAGCTTGCACTTTTCTTTTTGTAACATAAGTCAAAGGGCGACCACTTATTTCTTCAGTTCTCAAAGTTAGTCGACCGTACTGAAATTTTTTATGCTAGCTATATATGGTTGTCTTAGGGGAGCTTTTATCCTTAAATGTAATTTAACGTCTATCAATTAGTTCGTCTGGTTTTAGGCGAAAATTAATAATAATAATGCGTAAGACATAATGTTACTCGAACGTTGCTATCACATCTTCTCATACATAGCTGAAGAGGGTCCTCGAGCTGTACAAGGTTGGCTGTACAGTTAGAGACTTCCTCGGGCAGTGTATGGGGCAGTGGAGTACGATCCTTTGTCATCAAGGCGAGCGGATGACGGCTGCGGAGAACCACATAAGGATAAGAAGGGGTATCTTCCACGGCGATTGTCTGAGTCCAATCTGGTTCTGCCTCTCTCTGAACCCTCTCAGTACCTTACTGGAGGGTTCCGGGAGGGGATTTCAGCTTCGGAAAGGTGGTACAAAAATGACCCACCTTTTCTATATGGATGATCTCAAGTCATTCGTCTCCAGTCGCTCCCATCTTATGGAATTGCTAAACATCACTGATGATTATAGCAATTCTATTAGAATGGAGCTGGGGACGGATAAGTGTGCGGTCCTCCATGTCGAAAGGGGTAGCGTTGCTAACTCTGAGGGTATAGACTTATCTATGTCCATCAACATAAAGACCTTATCCGAGGCTGAAACATACCGATACCTGGGTATATCACAGAACATAGATATCGATGAGGCCGACATGAAACAGTCGGTTTGCGATGTATTTTATGCACGCTTGACAAGTGTTCAACAGTCTTTTGACGGCTGTGAATAAGACACACGTATATAACGGTTCTAATGCCAACCAAAGTGAGTCATGGTAAATAGAGTCGAATTGGTTGGCATTAGAATCTCATGGTATACATAACCAATATATAAAAGTACTGAAAGAAATTTATAGTCGAACTACAGCAACAATAAAAATGGAAAGACCAGGACAGCCATTTAAAATCGAGAGAGGGGTGAGACAGGGGGACCCGATCTCACCTAATCTATTTACTTGTCTATTAGAGTACATTTTCTCAAAACTTGACTGGGACAGACGAGGCATTAACATTAACGGAGAAATTTTGAGTCATCTACGCTTTGCAGATGACATTATCATATTGAGCGAAAATCACGAAAATCTTATATATATGGTTCAGTCTTTAGACATAGAAAGCAGAAAATGTGGCCTACAAATGAACCCAGATAAAACTTGTATATTGACCAATAGCACAAAAATGCCTGTTCAGGTTCAAAACCAACAAATCAGATATGTA